TGGGGGTGGGAGGGTGGTGCGGTAGAGGGAGGTGGGGCGAGACAAGGGTTTGTTTTATAAGAGTATACATGCCGGCGGATGGAAATGCAGCAGTTCAGGTAACTTTCGTGAGGGATGTTTTGCATTTTTATTTGATGGGATTGCCTTAGTTACTGTAATAGGAGGAGATTGGAATGGTCATACGACAGGGTGATGTGAACCGAGGGGGGGGGGGCGGGGTGTGTGTTGGGGTTTTTATGCAGTGTTGGGGGGATGTGGAGTTTTAGATGTGTGGGGAGGGGTGGTTGGAGGGTTTAGTACATATGTACGAAGGGGTTATGCTGCACGACTGGATAGGCTCTGCTACGGAGGCGATACGAGGTCTGGGAGTTAGGACCTTCGATGTGGGTGTGGGGTTTTCGGACCACGGGGCGGTTATTGCGGATCTTGATTGGGAGGGTATGGTTAGGATAAACACTGGTTATTGGAAATTAAATGTGAGACTTGTGAAGGGGGAGGGGGTGAGTGAGGCTTTTGGGGATTGGTGGCACTTTTCGGGGATCAAGGGATGTGGGGTCGTGTGTCTTGGAATGGTGGGAGAAGCGAGCTAAGCCGACGAGTATTGCTGGATTCTTTAAAAATAGGGGATGGGAAGAGGCCAGGTGGAGGTATGGGTTACAGAATTATTTGGAATGTCAGCTGAACGAGTGTTATGAGGAAGTGGGGAGGCAGTATGGGACAGTGGAGCAACTTAAAGGTAGACTGGCGGAGATACCCAAAGACAGATTTGGTGCCGTGCATGTGAGGGCAGGATTGGAGGCTGTATTGTGGGGGATAAACCTTCGGGAAGTGTTTCAAGACGTTTTAGGGCAAGGCAGAAGTCGTCGTCTGTTTTGCAATTCGAGGTGAGTGAGGATATGGGTGGATATCATAAGGGTCAGGTGCTTACTACTACAGAAGGCACGAGTAATTATACAGATTTCTGGTTTCAAGAGAAATGGAGAAAGGGGGGGGGGAGGGCGATGCTTTTGAGGAAGTGTTGGAGGGGGGGTGTGGGTTAGGGCAGAAAGAAGTATAGGGGATGGAGATGGGAGGAGCGATTAGTGTTGGAGAAGTTGAGGAGGCAGTGTTTAACATGAGTACTGGAAAAGCACCAGGCATCGATGGGATTTCAAATGATTTTTACAGAGTTCATTGGGAGCATATTAAGACTTGTCTGATGGAGGTCATGAATTGTATGCTGCAGGAGGGCAAGCTAAGTCAGACAAAGTATTGGAGTGGTGGTATTGGTTCGCAAAAAACAAGTGGGGAGTGTTAAGTGTGTATAGAGGTATCTCACTAATGTGTTCTGACTACAAGATTTTTGCAAAGATATTAGGTAATAGGATGAATGTAATTGGTGGGGTTGTATATAGGGGTCAGATGGGTATACCGGGACAAAGTATGAGAGTTGGGCATGGGCACATAAGGGACTTTTTGGAGGGTTGCGAGGGGGGGAGGACTTTTGGGTATTGATTGGGAGAATGAATAGAAAATTTTTGAGGACTTGTTTGTTGCATCTGGGGTTTGGACTGGGAGTGGCGCGGTGGGTCGATACGCTATACTCATCGGCTATGGTACGGGTCCAAGTTAATGGCAGATTGGGAAGGCTGGTTAAAATGGAGATGGGATTACGGCAGGGGTGCCCTCTTTCACAAATTGTGTTTGCGTGCATGCAACATCCGTTCTATGGGCTCGTTGAGGGGGTGGGAGCATTAAATGGGGAGAGGGAAGGGCACTCGGGCATTGTGGGGTATGTGGATGATACCACTATCCTGATAGAAGGGGTGGAGGGACTGCGTACAGTGGGGATTTTTGGGGAGGCGTCTGGCATGAGAGTAAATAGGGCGAAATAGTGTTTACTGGAGGTGGGTGCTTGGGTGGGGGGGGCTTGGGGTTGGAGTTTGGGTGGGCAGTGGTGGATAATTTGAAGATGTGGAGTTATATACATGGCAAATGCGCAGGAGGCTAGGCAGGTAAATTCAGAGAGGGTAGGAGAAAGAGTAGATTAAGGGGTTTACGGGCAGGAGATGTCACATTACAGCAGAGGGCGGTAATAGTTAATTCGCTGGTTTACAGCAAGGTTTAGGGTATAGCAGAAGTGTATCCTTTGAGAACACAGGACGTACAAGAAATACAGAGACGAGCTATACGTTATGTTTGGGGTTTTGGGAGGGCATGGCTGAACAGGGAAGTGGTGATGTCAAATGTGCACAGAGGGGGAGTGGGTCTTTTAGCATTGGGGCAGAGGGTAAAAGCAATATATGTAAAACAGTCATTCGTCAGGGCTGGAGGGGAAAGGGGTAAAAGTGGGGAAGGTGATGGGGGATGTGCGGAGATGGTGGGGAGGTAAAGAGTTAATTGAACGTGAGGATATGCTGAGGGTTTTGTTATTGGTTAAAGATGTTGAGCGACTTAAAGTGGGGCGTTTGGTATCATTGAGTGGGACGACGGAAATCCTGCAGGGCTTATCGGTCTATCCATTGTATGATTGGGGGACGATATGGGAAGACTTCCGTAGGCTCAGGTTAATGCCTAGGGTACGCGAGTTAGTATACAGATTCATGATGGGGATCATAGCTTCAAAAGCAGTTTTTGAGTTTAATGGGTTTGGTGAGGGAACCGTCCTGCAGTCAGTGTGGTGAGCTGGAAACGGCATTTCATGCGGTTTATTTTTTGTGAAGAATTGAGGGAGGTACGGATGTGGTGGGCGAGGGTTTTTAGTCTGTTAGATGGGGGTAATGTAGAGACCCTGCGAGCTTTAACATTAGAGGTAAAAGGGGTAACACGAGAGGTAAAAAGGGCGATTATGTATGTGGTAGTGGATTTTCTGTATTTCCTGGGGAATGAGAGATGCTGGGGGTAGGATTCGAATTAAGGCAATTGCAGCGCATATATACAGGACTGCTGGTAGGAACAAACTTATTTATGCGAGTCAGTGGGGAGCTTGTTTTCACAGAACTACAGAGCTTACAGTCAGTCGTCTCCTGCAATTGGTACAGTGATAACCATGTAGGGGACTGGTTTTCTTTGGTAGTCGGGTTTTCACGGGTTTTCAGTGGTGGTGGCGTGTATGGGAATGGTTTTAGCGAATGACATGGATGGGTGGATGCTATGTAGTGTAACTGATTATGGTTGGGTGGTAACTAGTCTTATTTCGGTTGCTGTTGTAGGAATGGAACAAGTAAAACCGTGTGCAAGTGTGGATTGCTTTGGGTATGGAGGTGAATGTGTGTGAATGTAGTGTTAAAAGTAATGTTCTTTAAGATAAGAAAGCTCCCGGTGTGTGGTGTTATGATGAAATCAAGATGTCAGGTAAAATGGTGTTCAGGGTTAACTTAACTTTAATGTAACTACTTTTGGAGTGATGAGGCACTCCTGTGTCAAATTAGTAATGTATCTGATGGATGATGGTAAAAGTTTGTATATATGCCACAAAAAATTAAGAATAAAAAGTGGTGTTTGTGTACAAAGTTTTATAGATATTTAATTTTGTATTCACTTAGCTTGTTTAACTTTTTTGTAATGGTGCAACGTTTAGTTGATGCAGGGATGGCACAAGAACACCTGGGTGTTCAAGTGTGAATGGCTCTGGGTATGGAGGTGCACGTGTAAATGTAGTGTGGTGATTAATGTAATTTTCTCAACGATAAGAAGGCTCCCTGTGTTTGGAGTTATTATGAGGAAAACATGATACAATGTACAGTAAACTGGCGACTAGGGTTAATTTATCTTTATGGCTGAGTTCATAATATCAGATAAACAAGTTAGTGGTTATTAAACAACTCACGTATAGTAAATGTTTTTTTAGGGAAATATAATGTAAATTCTTTTTAGGGGTGGTGATACAATCCATTGTCAAAATAGCAATGTAACATTTGATGAACTCTAGTAAAAGTTTGTGTATATCCCAATCTGTTGGCGATATTAGTATTTTTGCTTCGGGGTGAAGGAAGATTAGTAAAAACTTTTTTGCCAGGATCAGATCTATCAAAATTAACTGTAATCGTGACAAGTGCATGGAAATATAAAATTAACAGTTACAGAATCAGTTATGGCATTTGTAAGAATTCTGTATGAAGGATTAATATATAAAACAGTGGAAAAAATAATGCAGATTGTAGGTTTGAGTCTTTTGCTTATAATAATAATGCATAGTCATGTCTTGTGTATCCTTGCTTAACATAGGTGTATGGGATATAATGCATAGGGGATGAGGGACTGACAGCACAACGTTAATCGTCTGTATTTAGACAATGAAATTTATAATTTTGTGTAAGAATTGATACTGTTCTTTTATCTATTTAATGTATTGTATCGTTTTCAATGAAGTAAAAAAAAATTATACTGTATTTTCATACTTGTTGGAGGACGACTTATTTGTAACAAATTTCCAATACACGATATGTGCCATTGTAGGGGCAGTTAGGAAGTGGTGTGCACGAGATGAGCCTTTGTGGAATGTGTTATCCGTGTAGTGTTGGTGCATCACGATTGAGAAGTAATGTGATCATGGTATTTTTAGGACAGCTGATTATGCTGTGCGGATCTGGTGTTGTACGAATGAGAATTATATTTAGCGTTATTATGTACGTGTTTGTTGTTACTTATTGGAGAGGTGGAGCTTTAGTATATGTTACCAACAATAATGTCGTTTTAGGCATGTTCGACATATATATTATGTACTTAAAGTTTCATACACATACATACACATACACACATACACACGAGGGTAAGCACTAAACCTGTAGAATTCTACGAGAGCATGCGAAATCGGAGGAAACCAGGTTTATAAAAGTATTGCTTCCTTCGACCAAGAGCCCTTTTCCGAAATTGTTTCAGAACTTGCTTACCTGGGCATTAACAAGGAAATATCCTGCAATTTTAAAAGCTGCACACTTTTTTGTGTGTATATATATCCGAGATAAAACAAATTTGAAGGTCAACAGCCCCAAACAAATCTATAAATACAAAGTACTAACCACAAGTGCTCTTGCCACTGTGCCAGAGGAACGAATGTGTGTTAATCCAGGGAAAGCACTGCAAGACAAGTGCAAAATAATACAAAAATTATGTGTCTAGCAGCATTTGGAACCTCAATCCGCGACGCCTAGCGTCCCTATGGTGACGCTGCCAAATTCATCAACAGATGGCGTGGCACTACGAGAATTTCTGCATATTAATTTCAATTTTGTCCCTTTCTCGAAAATGAGTATTTAAAGAAAGAAATCCCAATGAAAGTGTGAAAGCAATTACGCAAATCTACCACGGCGCTAAACACAAAACAAAAATAGCATAGTGCTTACGTGTATTCGCACATATATTTACATATATCTTCAGAGGAAATTTGACGATGTGTGTGGTAACATGAACCAGCTGAGGTAGTAATGTTCTGTACAATGATATATACACCGACAAGTATGTTAATAAGACAGAATATATGGTTCAGAACATATTGTTTCTTATTCATATACTGAGAGGTCTATGTCTATCAGTCGGAATTTAAGTTTTTTTTTTCAGGGATGAAAAGTATTCTTGACTGGTGGTAAACAGGTTCCATGCAGTCTTATGGACCTCGTACAACCGATAGGCTTCAACGAACCAACGTGTTATATTATTTTTTCACTGGTATAGTTTTTTACGAGCATTTAATATTACATCCATGCCACTGTTGTAAGCATATTATATATAAAATATATATATATATATATATTTTTATATATATATATATATATATATATATATATATATATATATATATATATATATTTATATATATATATATATATATATATATATATATATATATATTTTTATATATATATGGGTAATAGATTTAAGACATCAAAACAAATACTCAGCATTCAGATTGTTACCAGACTGTTTCTTCCACATTATCGCTATTAAGACACCGCGAATAAGAGGTATTTAATATCCAAGAATTACCCAGCAAAGATATTTTTATTAAATATGTCAACAAAAATAAATTACGCCTCTCATATCTAGAAGAAAATAATATATTATTTATACAGAATCTTTCTGGCGATGTAAATAGTTATATGCAAACCTACCGCCATCTACTTTCTAAATGTTAGACTATTATCCTGATGCCATGAACTGATATGTCAAAGTGAGTTTTCTTAATGCTCATTATTAGTTTTTGAGGAGTGATGAGGAACTTAAACCTATTCTCCTGCGTCTGTTAACGAGGTCACAGTGTAAGGTATAGTAGATGTTAAGAAGATTTTATTTAATTCCAGGCAAAATAAGGATTTAAGTGTTGATTAGTTGTATATAAGTATACAGATTTTTTTGCAGTGGCTAGTTTTAAAGCCCAAGGAATTACATTTTATTCTCACAAAATTCTGGGTTAAATTAACTGAAATGAGTACATGTAATTAGTCGATATGCCATACGGAAATGAGTAGATCGCGTGAAGAGGTACCTACAAGGCCACATCTACTTGTATTCCGTGGTTTTTAATGTATTAAACAGAGTATTCTTAAGTAGCGGTACTCGTTAAAACGGCTATTAAGTTTTAGTAAACAGGTTTTAACCTTTTAAGTCAACCGTTGGCGGCGTATGTAATTAGATATTGCTGAAAGATACTTTTCACTTCCATGATTTTTTCCCTCTAAATACATATACTCTCATTGATTGATAGATATCTTGTATAATGTATATGTATATATAAATTATATATTTGCACAAAGCCTTTGCCAGTATGTACACCCTTTTGCATATGCACATGTGTACACCCATGTACGTGAACATGTATAAATTTAACTATGTACGTACAAGTATGCACATACAGACCAATTTGCATATTTGCTGCATTATATTTTTGACATCCTCTTAAAATTCCTTCTGTGTACATCGAAGCAGAGAAGTAATTGTGGGGAAGAAGGGGGGTGTGAGACGCTTACGTTCCTGGGATCGCTCGGTGATCAAAGTTAACCTAGTTTTTTTTATATTTTATTTAAAACTCTGGTACAAAATATATGGGTACATAATCAATATGTAACAAGATACAGGCAGTGAAACAATCTGCAGACTACACAAATACCGGAGAAGCACTTATATAATGATATCAGAACTGGCTGCTGCACTCCAATCAAACACTGCTCTTATGTACTGTGCTTCACGTGAAAAGTTGGTCTTATAATAAACGATAGTCCTACCTAGTAATGCTTACACTCCCTCCCTTGAAAACATACCACTTTCACCTTAGTATACTCACTGACAAATCTTATACATTTGTAAGAGCATTAAGGACTTCATTGACAACATATATAAACACAATCCAGCCATCTAAAAGGCTGACTAAAATACAAGGAATGTCTGAACATGATGGCACACATCCACCATTAAACAATCCACACCCTAACCCTCATTTTACCCCATGATATAATTTAATATCGTGCACGGTGGTGGGTTTAATACACTACCCCTGACACTTCAATCCCCCCCCCCCATGCTAGTAATCTGCCGTCACCACTCATAACCACCTTCAGTCATTGAATTTAAATATACATTAGAATACAATAAAATAAAGGAATATAAGAACCCCTTATCGACTCCGCCACATATAAATAAAATTTTCCACTTTTCTAAATACACTGCTGATTCATCTTTGTGCTGACACAAAATATCCCCCATCCCCTATGCTTTTTATCTCTACTCCAAAGCTAAATACCAGATTATACATTTCATCAATCAAATTTATATTACAATAAGCATAAACATATCAATACTTATCATCCGACTAATAGGTTTACATTATCACGCTGAATTCCATGAAATTTACATAAGAATTAATACATATATTGACAATCCTCACAATCCTTCCCGTCTTCTAAATAGTGTACATACATCCAGTGACGTTTCGTTATGATCCAATCATAATTAAATTACTTTTCCTTTTCCCCAGTGCAAGATAAATGCCACTTGCACTAGACGTCACAACACCTTACATTTCACTTAAAACGTATAAAATAAGAACTAACATAAGTAACTTATAACAATATATAGATAGTAATTTTGATAGTAATTTTTGATATCCAGTTCCTGAATATCACACGACCTCAGGGGATATACTTCTGCCACGCCCCACACTTCACTGTACACAAGTGTTAACTACCACCACCCTCTGCAATGTTACATCCCCAACCCTCCACCCGTGCATCCTATCCGTCGCTCTACTCGCAAATTCCTCGCAATTTATTCTCTGCGCCTCCACAGTGTCTACCATATACACAACCCCCACATATCTTAATTCTATCCATTACGTTCCACCCATACAGTTCCCCCCCCCCACCCACGTGCCTACTTCTAATAACTTTGACTTTGCTCCATTAACCCTCATCCCTGTCGCCCCAGCAAAAATCTCTATTATACGTCCCACATTCCCCAATCCTATTTCCCCTCCCACCAAAACTGTGGTGTCATCCACATACCCCACAATACCACATCTGCCAGGACCCACCTCTCCCTGTTCCCACACTCCTTCCTCTATAAGCCTATAAAAAGGGTCCTGCATGCATGCAAAGAGGATTTGAGACAAGGGGCAACCCTGTCGCAAACCCATCCCCAACTGCACCAGCAACCCTAACTTCCCATTAACCTGTACCCTGACCGTCGCAGGCGTATACAAAGTCACCCAGCGCGCACTCATCCCCAAAACCCTGTTTTTGTAAAATACTCCACATGTGTATCTACACTGTCATAAGCCTGCTTCCAATCAATCCCCAAGATCCTCCCCCCTTGTCTACCCTCCACAAAATCCTTAATTCTTCCATGCCCCTCACGCATACTTCGACCTGGAATCCCACACTGTCCTCTGTGTAGGACTGTCAAGCACCTTTTTCATACGATTACCTAAAACCTTCGCAAAAACTTTATAATCAGCACACATGAGGGAGATCGCCCTAAAAGCACCCAAGGTCTTTCCCCCCTCTACGAAAGCAAAAGACTTGGCAGACGATGCACCATCCCCCCAATGAAAAGCAGGGGTGTCACTAGCACGTTAAGAGACCATACAATAAGTGTCAGGGGCCCGAGACTGTTCAACTGCCTCCCAGCACACATAAGGGGGATTACCAACAGACCCCTGGCAGTCTTCAAGCTGGCACTGGACAAGCACCTAAAGTCAGTTCCTGATCAGCCGGGCTGTGGCTCGTACGTTGGTTTGCGTGCAGCCAGCAGCAACAGCCTGGTTGATCAGGGGCTGATCCACCAGGAGGCCTGGTCACAGACCGGGCCGCGGGGGCGTTGACCCCCGAAACTCTCTCCAGGTAAACTCCTCCCTTATAGACCCAAACAACTACCCCCGTGCCCTGAGATTCCCATAACACTCCCCTTTCCTTCATACAGTTAAACGAGACCAGACATTCCTTCATACAATCCCAATGTGTAATACAGAAATCATTAGGAATTCCATCAATGCCCGGCACTTTTCCCCTACTCAAGCCCATTACCGCCTCCTCCACCTCCTCACTGATCCTACCCTCTATTACCACTCTCTCCTCCTCCCCTAAAATACCCCGAATTCCTTCTCCTAGAATCTCTCCCTCCCTCCTCCCTCCCCTGCTTAAAATTATCCCTAAACCAATAATCAGCATAATTGCTCATTCCATCGGTGGTACTAAGTACCTGCCCCACCCTATATCCCCCCACCCCTTTACACACCTCTAATCCCATAATCGTGGTCATCTGTTGCCTATTACTAAATCTCCTCAAAACACATCCTGACGGTTTGTCACCCCATAGAACCTTCTCTAAACCTTCCCTCACACTTATCGTATCAAAACGAGAATTTTGTATATCCCTCAATCTTCCCCTTAAAACCTCTATTTCTCAGTGTCTAGCCCCCCTCCCCCTTCATAACAATCATTTAGCTGCCCCTCAAAATATTTCTGTAAACCAAACCTCCACCTCGCCTCATCCCGTCCTCTATGCTGATAATACTCCTTAATCTGCAATTTAGCATGCTTCTCCCACCATTCCAAGACGACATCCTCTTTGTTGCAAACCTCCCAGAGT